GGCACTTCATTGATAATCCCAACCAGTTTGCGACAGGCTTGTTGTCGGAAAGATAACGAAGGTAAGAATGTAGCTGGGAGCAAAGACAGCCTGCCGCACATCTTCTGTCTTTTATACATAACTTTGATGGCCAGGGCTCACAAATTAGTACAATTAATTACTCTGGGCTTAAAAAAGTGTAGTACACTTTCACCCATACCCAGATCTCTCATTTTAGGAATCCAGCACTGGATAGAAACAAATATAGACATATAGATAAGGAGACAGAGAATAAAATTTAAAGAGGAGAGTAAATGCCAGCGGAAGTCCTATTCATTACCCACTCCTTACTCGAGGTTCTGAAAGTAGTGTGTTGTGTTCCCCCACCCCACGGGGTGCCCGGTTCTTATCCTTGATAATTTTATGAGTATAACTTTCAAGGTTATGTCCTCAAGAACCCCAGGCAGAGGTCCCCCTTTCCTATAATCTGTTTGAAAGTTGAGGGGCGTCAGGCTGTGTTACGCCTCCCAAATGAATTTAAAATTTTTTGTTGTTGTTTTAAAAAAGAGACACCTCGGTTAGCAAAGATTTTTTTTCCTCTTTTTTTGTGACGTTAGGTAATATATTTACAGAGATCTCCTCTATCATAGAGAAACATAACAGCATTACAGAACGGACCTGTGACAATCAGAGAAGACACAAATAAGTACACCAGGAACTTCCAACACGATGACAGAAACATTGCTTGAGCGACCACCCTACTTTACCCCCCCTTTCTCCTTCCTTTGCCCCCTTTTCTTTCCATTTGTACAAAATATGCAGCCACGACGACGTCATGAAACTGAAAACAAAACCGACAAAGGAAAACAGAACGAAACAAAAGCCACTGCGTAAATTTAACTTACAAAATAAAAATTCCGACAACAACAACAAAAAAATATTCAAGTACTTTGTTGTTTTCTGGAAAAGAAAATAATGTTTATTGTAGTTGCATTTTTTGAATTTTTTTTAAAATTTTCTTTCTTTTGTTTTTGTTTTGGGTTTTTTTTTGTGTGTTTGTTTTTTTTAAGAAAAGCACTCTTTTTGTCTTTTACTCCAGAATGGTTGCTGTGTTTAACTAATTCTAAACACTCATCAGCACACCGAAAAAAATAAAGTCAGGAACACTTTGAATCCCAAGCTTAGGAGAAACGGCGCCTCCGTTTCCCCTCTCCCAGGAGGGACTCGGCCAATTTCACTGCTGGTCTTTATTATCGGTTTTCTCCTTGTTCATTTTCTTCATTTTCATCCGCCTGTTTTGAAACCAGATTTTGACCTGCCGCTCCGTGAGATTAAGAACCCTGGCTACTTCATAACGGCGGTCCCGTGTTAGGTACATATTGAACAAAAACTCCTTCTCTAACTCCAGCGTTTGGTATTTCGTGTAGGGGCATCGTTTCTTTCGTGTAGAACGTGCATGAATCCAGTTCGCCACGGGGTTGTCTGGAAAAGAAAGATCGGACACATAAAAGACAGATGTAGGTAAAACATATTGGATGTACATAGGTTTTTCTACCCAGATCTAGCCAAATATGACTCTACAGTGGTGGTGGCGGGGCAAGGGGGGAAAAAAAGGTCCTTCTTTTTGGCAACATTATGTGATCAAATCTGAATTGACCTTCAGAGTATTTTAAGGGCGTGTGGATTCTTTGATAGGAAGTAAAGGCAAAGGGTGTCCTAGCACTGAGGGCAGGAAGACTGTGTTCACAAATGTTTTTGCTAGTCCTGCTTCAGCAACCTGTTCCTGACTTTTAAGTTTTATTTTCGAGGAAGTGACCAGTGCCTCCCGCAAGCTGCCATTTAAATAAACAAACCAGGGCAAGGAGTATAATAATAATAATGGTCATATTAATAATATTACACTCCTGCACATGAACACCAGTAAGAAGAATCCAAGAACATAGTCATAAAGTCAGATTTCCCACCACTTCATAGGCCCATAAACTCTGTTTACAACCATTACTCTTCAGTCCCCTCTCTATAACCTTCCCCCTGATGGAAGTGCTGACTTTTTTTTTCTTTTTTCTTTTAATATCTCCAGAAAGCTCCAGGATAAGCCAACTGGCTCCAAGAAAAACATCTATCCCCCTCGACCCTAAACCACCTTCTTCTGTAATAAACTTCCTTATAGCTTTGTTAAAGAGAAATAATTCAAATTTTAGAGTGACTATATTTTTGGGGGTGAGATTTGAAGTTAATTGACTAGTTTTAGATTCTAGGCTGTTTCGACACATTCCTTCACCTTGTTTTGTGTCGCCATTCTCTCTCTCTCTCTTTGCTATTTGCTACATATACATTGATATGCTTCTGCCTATTTGCCTATACTGCACTTCAAAAAGAGGGGGAGGGGGCTGAAGACCAAAACAGCATTCAGTCAGAGACTGTTAGGCCTAAAGGCTTTGTAAACACCTAGCGCAGGAATGAGATTTAGGGAGGGAGGCATGGGAAGAGCTGCTGCCTCTCTGTATATGGGCATTAAAATATACACATATGTATACCCACATGTGCATACATAAAAAGAAATGGGAATTAATTCTTAGCATGAGATGGTTGGGGCCCCATATATTTTGCTTGCTGTATCAGTACCCCCAATTGTCATCCCCCCCCCCAATAAACGCCAACACTTATATGGCATATTTTCACAAGGAAGTGCACAGAAGACTGGGCAGAAGAATAATGACTTTACAAATACACAGATCCTCTGCCTGCCCTTTCTGTTGATTTAATAAGGTTCAGGGGTATTTCTTTCTTTACCAAACTCCCTGGGCTGGCAAGTTGAACTGCAGAATGCCCTTAAAATCAACAGCAACTGGGAATTCTTCACTGCAGTTTCTAAGGACTGAACACGCACATATGCATGCACCGCAGTGTAGTAAACTCCAGTGGCTATTTATAGATTTATTCACTCAGTAATGTAGCTTGTAACAATCTACACTCAGCCCCCCCCCCATACACACAGTCTACAACCAGGATAGACAGTTCTGACTAGATACAGTTTTTATGAATCATGATCTAAGTGAGGGGGTGTTGTTGGGTTGCTCGCCCACTTTTCTTCCCTCTCTGTGTTTAAAAATTTATATCAACACATCATGATCATTTTTCGCCTTCCCACAAGCCCAAACGACTCCCTTTGCCAGATTTTGTTCCCCCAAACGTCAGAAGAACTGAGGGAATGAGGGCATGGCAGGTTTTGAATACTGCATCAAGCAAATTGATTTTTTTTTCCTGCAAGGTGATCAAAAAATTAATTACGCAAATAATCAGTCCTAATCCTCTCTCTATGTGGATATCTATCTACTGTATCTATAAATCCATCTACATAAAAGAGAGAGACTCCCCGCCCTTGTACTACCGCCCTTCTTCCCCCCCAAATCAAACAAACTACTTATGATCTTCTAAGTCAGTCTCTCCTCCCGCTCCCCCCCCCCAGCCTTGTCCAGTTGGAGTTTCAAGGCATGGACGCCCCGAATTCTAAACAGCAAGGTAATTTCATTTTATTGAGTACTGTGCGGCGGAGGCTGTAATGCCTTGCCGGTTGTAAACAAGAATGACTTCGACTTACTAGGGTCCAATTCGGTCTTTTCTTCTTTGTGTTTGTTGGAAGCGATGGCCTCAGATTCCGGGGAGGGTATAGTCTGCGGGGTTCTGTCCCTGAGATCTCCCGGGGATCCATACATATAATCCGGATAACTACGTCCATCCACGGGTCCGCAGTCCCTGCGGCCGTGGAAGGCGTCGGGTTTAAGCCCGTAATGCCGGCTGCTGGTTGGAAAACCTGGGAAGGAGACCGCGCCGGAGATAGGCTCCAGCCAAGTGCGCATATATCTGGTGTCAGCTCCAATGTGAGGCTGGTGGGTATACGGGTGGTAGACCACGGACGACTGGGAATGCACGGGAGCCCACGAAGTTGTAAAAACGGCCGGTTTGGGGGCAAAACTGCAGGATGGAAAATCCGCGCACTCCGGTACTAGTCCTGAAGGTCTGGCCGCTGCCGGGTGGGAGCCAGTGGCTGGGAAGCGGGATGCCAACAGATCGTCGCTTTCATGACTAATCAAGGAATCTACATAATAGTTGCTTATGGGGCCAGAAGCCGACATTGTTCCCCCCTCTTTTACATTCATAAGATTATTGTATGAACTGTATGTGTACTTTTTATCTTCTCATAGAACAATCAGGGCAGGTAATTATTTTTTCAGCCTTTCCTAGTTTGCCATTGGCTCCCAGCGCTCACGTGATTGTATTTACCCAAAATACAGTGTAGATCAATCCGCAGGTCTTTTTCCCCCCAATCTCGTTCTTTCTATTTTTTTTTTTTTAAATACCGCCTATGCGACTTGGGTTTTCATAAAACTCTTGAAATAATGCAGTTATTAGCAGCGGTGGTGGGAGCTTACGTGCCATTCGCGGAGAGGCGACTTCCTCCTTCGTTGCCCGGCGGGCTGGCTCGCTCTGCGACCTGGCTTTTCCATAGCCCTGCTGTTAATGAGGGTGTGCAAGGTATCTGGCGTAGCAAGGTATCACAGGAACTATTTCTTGACGCAATTTGTCTCTGTCTGGTCTCTTTGCTGCTACAGCTTGTATTCTATAATGGATACGTTACATGGAATATCTTTAAAGGGGAAGGGGGGGGTCGGTTGAAGGTCCTACCAGCGCCTCACCGCTCCTTCCCCTCCTCTTCAGCACCAGCCCCTGAATGGATATGATCTCTCGCTCGCTCGCTCTGTACATCTATCTATATCTATCTATTTATATATCTATATGCAGATATAGGTACTCATATATATTTTCCTGAAGGAAGAACCTTTTCTCGTCTATAATGCCATGCATATTCGTCAACTACTTACAAAATATCTTGGGGTCACGTGCTTTCTTTTTACACACACACACACACACACACACGTGTGTGTGTGTGTGTGTGTGTGTGTGTGTGTGTGTGTGTGTGTGTTTTCGGGAGGACGACCTTGTAAAACAGGAATGGAAAATTATAATGCGCCAAAAAAGTAGCTCTCTTCTTTGTGTGAGGCTGCATTATTCGGCAAGTTAGTCGTGGATGTTTTTATGCCCTTCAATAAAATTTTTACGAGGACCATTTGATTGTTCATAAATGTGTCGTTCATTAAATAAAATTGTACGACTAAGTTTCAGTTATAAGGCATAGCTGGGAGTGAGGGACCTTCTGCCTGTTCTGACAGCAATCCAGGGTGTGCTTGTTTTGAAGGGTATAGTCTATTCATACTTGGCATCACTATCATTGCTGTTATAACTTTTAAATCATGTACTGTCACTGAAACTTTCGGTTTGCTGAATCGGTTGCAGAACTCTATCTGAAGACGTGTGTGTGTGTGTGTGTGTGTGTGTGCTCATGTGTGTGTTGGGGAGAACTAGTGCTTGACAGAGGAAGGTGGTTGATACCTAGCATGTTCCCTTAGTGGTCCGTAAGGATGGCGTTGATCACTTGCCCTGGAAAAGAAAGCTGGAAAAGGATACACTTCCCACACTACCACACAAAAGGCAACCACAACCACAAGCACAACTTCAAAAGAACACTAACAAGAAGACACCTTTCTTCCCTCTCCTGGTGTTGTCCAAGATTCGTGATTTCCAGTTTAGCAGAAGGGGCTTGGGTCCGCGATAAATTTTAGAAAGAGCAGAGTAGGCACAAAAAAGTATAAAGAGGGAAGGTTTACAAGAGAAGAGCAGAACATAGAAAAGAAAGAGGGGGGGCATGAATGGGGGGGCATGTGTCCCAGACGGATGCAGTATCCACCGGTGATATTAGGGTCCATAGATAATGTTCAGGTCCCCTATACACACTACAGCAGGAGTGGATTTATATTTTAGGCACCTTGCAGCTTCAGGAGGTGAGAAGGAAGCAGACTCAGTCCAATGCTTGAACAACTTCTCTGTCAATATCCTCTCTCTCTTGCTTCTACCGTCCCTTTTGTCAGCTGTGTTCTAGGTAATCCCACTTTAAAGATGCTTTAAAAAGTTCTTTTGAATGACCTGATTAAGATTTCTGAGTGTGTCTTAATTCACCAGTCCATGGCTATACATGTACCAGTTTAATGTAAAAAAGCATTCACGTATCAGTTTAATGTATAAACCATTCATGTGCCAGTTTAATGTAATACTAGAAAAGTAGTATTTCACTCACAATAAATTGCAATTTACTCCATCTATTTTAAATAGAAACAGATGGTGATATCCCAGTGTCATTCTCCTTCTAATTGTGTTTTTCTCTCTCTCTCTGTCTCTCTGTCTCTCTCTGTCTCTCTCTCTCTCTGTGTGTGTGTGTGTGTGTGTGTGGTGTGTGTGTGTGTGTGTGTGTGTGTTTGTGTGTGTGTTTGTGTCCAAGAATTTTTTGTGTGGGGAAGTCCTCCTGTGAAACCTAAAGTAATCATCTCCCTCCCATTATTTTCAAAGCAATTTCAGTCTACCGTTTTCTTCAGGGAAATATTCCTATAGACACATGAAGTTGTCCTTTGGCCTTTCTGGAGTTCAATTTACCTGTCAATCAAAAGTCTCCAGTGACTTCATTTTTGTTTCAAATGTGCAAGGGAAAGTTAATCCTAAACATTATTCTCATCATTTTTTGAGGCTTTCTCTTTGGAGAAATTAAAGAGAGGGAGAAATGCAAGAAGCGCTTTCTCTCTCTCTCTCTCTCAATCTCTCTCTCTCTCTCTCTATATATATATATAATGAATCAAGGAGATGAAACGTTTTGTCTAGTTGCACTGAAGAAATATAATTTTCTTTACAAAAATAAATCTTCCAAAGGAATGGTAGTTGTTAAGACATACTGAATGAACAAGGAAATATTTATCTCTCTCTCTTTCTCTCTCTCTCTCTCACACACACACACACACACAGAGAGAGAGAGAGAGAGGGAGAGAAATATATGCTATCTATTTAGAGGAGTGAGGAAACGAATAGGAAAATAAGATTAGAATGATTATTTTCTATGAAATCAGATCTAACCTATGAATACACACCAATAATAATGGATTATAAAAGAGAAGGGCGTGAAAAAAAATAAATCCTACTGGTAACCTTAATGCAGGCAAGCAAGGTCATTAAAATATATGTGGATGGAATATTCTTTTTTTTAAAACAAACAAACAAACACGTGGATGGAATATTCTTTTAAAAAAAAAAAAAACACACACACACAAAAAGAAAACCCACCCGCTAGAGATGCCTTTGATTTCCAAAGAAACCTTCTGCCACTGACAGAACAAAGCAGAACAACAACAAGAGGGAAAGGACAATCCAGGAAAGCAAAACAGTTTTCCTGAACGCTGCAGGTTGTTCATAGCCCAAGATCTTAGCAAGGCTTGTAGGGCAAAGCTTCTCTCGTTCAAGGGATCCCCCTGGCTGGGAGCCGTGGCCCGTTGGAACTCAAGGGGAGAGAACAAGATCTCCAAACAGGAAGAAAGAACCCAACTGCCTTCAGATAGATCTACAAAGATCACAGCGTTTTAGATTTCCTCCACAGCCACAAAAAGACACTCTTTGAAAGCTTTCACATAGACCGTGTTCGGATATCATCATCACTCTCTGGCTGTTTTTTTTCTTTTTCTCTCTTCCCTTTTCTTCCTTACACCACCAAACTCAGGTTAGCCTTTCTGGAAGAGGAATGAATATTTTGAAATGCTCTTTCGGAGACCGTGTTGCCATCTGAAGAAAGCGATTCTACTGGTATTAAAATCCTGAACGTCAGTTACCTGCAAGGCGAAAAGGCTACATTTTCTACGCCTGCTGGCCAGCGTCTCCGCAAGAGACTCATCTATTTCTATAAAACTCGCACCTCCCTCTCAGAAGCAGATCAATCCTGCCTTCCCATGGCCCACCCCAGTTTCTCCTATCTCCGTCCTACTGAACCAAAATAAAGATAGAAAAGCATCGTGTTTTTTTAAAAAGAGACAACATGCACTCTTAAGGTCTGTATGTATATGCTAGTGTTAAGAGTGTGTATATGTACATATGCGTTTTTTAATATATATTTTTAAAAGAGAAATTTTTAAAAAATCAAAATATTCACCCGAAACGTAAATGAATACGGTTTGAGAAAGGATTTTAATGATCCTTAGTTTAGATCTGATGCTTTTAAAAAAAGAATTATTTCTTAACCTACTTCCGCCATTGCTTTCCTGAGAAGGAGATTCAGAGAAACCCCCCCCCAGCTACCTACCTAACACAGACACATGTTCGCGCGCTCGCGCGCACACACACACACATATAAAGAGATTACGGGAACTCTGTAGCTCCCACCTCATTCTTATTAAGGCCTCTCTCATGAAAATTCTCTGGTTTCAAATGGGTGGGCCGGAGCACTAAAACGCTGCACTGCTCGGCTTAACCTCCTCCTCCTCTTGCTCCTTCACCTTAGCCCACCCCCCACCCTCCCATAGAAGTACTGGCGCATCTTGGAGCATCTTTCTCCATAACGGGACAGATCTCTTTCCGTAGACGGACTCCAGGCCTAGGGAATCCAAGGCAGCTTCGCATCGGACCTCCTCGTCTCTCCACACACACACACACACACACACCACGTCCTCCCAGCCCCACAGTCCGCTGCCCTGCCGTGGGACTCTTGGGACTCTTCAGCAGCTGCTGGATTCGCCCCAAGGAAGCTGTGAAGACGAGGGGAAGGCGAGCGGAGCAGCCGAGCTCTTTATAAATCGATCCTGGAAGTGGGGCTCCGGTTAACCCGCGGACGAAAAAAAAAAATCGCCAAGGAGGTTGAAGAACCCACAGTCCCCAAACCCGGAGGGGGGGGGGAGCGGCGGCGGGAAGGAGGAGAGCAACCCCTGCACCCTTGACACGCAGGCCAGCCGCGACTCTCCCCCTCGCCTGCCTTCGTTCCGTGTTTTCAGTCGGTTCAATAAACACCGTCAAGTTCGGATTAAAGAAATCCACTTCTCTCGCTCGCTCGCTCGCTCTCTTCACACCGACATGAATTCTGCAGTTCTTTTGTGATAATGTAAAAGCCGATCAGAATACTGCTTTATTATCCATTTTGCTGAAATGGGGGTAACTTGGAAATGGGCCATGGGAAAAGTGTATGTTATGTTACGTGTGAACGTGCTATTTGCGGTATTACCCTCCTCCCCCCCCTCCCCCCCCCCCCCTCCTCCTCCTCCTCCTCCTCTTTCTTGGGAGCGGCCGGCACCGTTTTCGCAGCCCCTGCGGGCCCCACAGCTGTAGGCTGAAGGCGTCGTCGCGTTGACAGCCCTTCATAAGCGAGCGCAAACTCAGCATAAAGTCACCCTTGGAAGTTTCCCCATGTGGGGTGGGTGGGTGGGTTACACAAGCTGTATACTCACTGCTTTACATTGTAGCTGAGTGTCATTTCTTCAGTGTTGTCACATGAATGGATTCTGGACAT